CGCTGCTCCCCCCCCCGCGGGTGGGCGGGCAGCCCCAGGGCTTGGCGGGGTGGGGGGCGGCTCTGCCGCTGTTAATGCCGGTTCTGTTTCTCTCCCTCTAGCTGCGTGAGTGAGCTGTCCAGCCCTGTGTGGAGAATGTGGATTCCTGAAGACTTTTTACTTGGATCAGTCTTTCTTAACTTCTGAGATACAGCTGTGAAAGGGAAGGCAGGGCTTCGTAGATACGCTTTTGTAGACTAGCACAGCAATGATGGTAGTGCAAACTGTGTGCCAACCCTGCCAGTACTTGTAAGTAGTGCTTGCCCTCTCATTTTACAATAGGGTTTTTTGTTTGTTTGGGTTTTTTTTTTTCTTAGCAGTAGCAGACTTTCTGCAAACCCTGGCTTGTGCAAACCCTGGCTTGTTCATCCAGAGGAAATATTGTGGGCAGAGAGCCTGCCCTCAGTATTTTTATTTTTATTTTTTTCTATCAATCAGCTGTAGCATTTTGCTTTAGTTAGTCTCTTCCCAGCCTTGCTCCTGGTGCTGCAGCTGAGCCATGCTGTGTGTTAATTGTTCCCAGGAAGGCCTCAAGCTGTGGGATGGGTGGTTGATCAGCACAGATCACCAAGGTCGGGGACGGGGAATCAGGCCTATTTTAAGGGGAGCTGGCAGCAAGAGGGAACAACCTGAAAGGAGGCAGGGGTGTTTGGCCAGGGAAGGCTGAAGTAAAGATGCTCGAGTATCAATTGCCAGAAACCCGTGCTTGCTTGAAAAATAAAACTGAATGAGAAATTGTAAGGAAAAGGCACGGGGTAGGTACAGGGCACATTCTTTCAGGGAACACAACCTGGATATGCTTGAGGAAAAGTGTTTGGCTTTAGAATATCTTGCTATAAAGAGAAAAAGGGTATCAGTCTTGGATGAGGAAGAGTACTTGGCATCTCTTAGGAGTGTATTGCCTTCACATCTCAGGTTTAACACACTTGGACTCAGGTTGTTTGATACATACCTGTAATCACATACAAGGTGGCAAAGGCTTCACCTGTGATCCAGTTGCCTCAGAAGTTTTGAAACTCTGTAAATATTTTGTAAGGTTTTTTAAACTTAATAAAATTGTCAGTTCTCATGGCAATACAGCTCTTAAGAATTTCAGTTTCTACCTGCATTTCTTTTTTGGTGGTGGTGGTTTTTTAAGTTCCCATGGTATTCCTCTAATTTGCTACAGCTTATGATGCAGCTGGCAGCAACAGAGACACTCTGGCCCTGGCCTTGTGCCTTGCATAAGCAAAATTGCCTCTTTCTTTCTTTGGTGTGTGCACTAGAACATGGAGGGGGGAAAAAGCACAGAAGTAGTCTACACATCATTTTTGAAAACGGTACCATTTATTAAAGTGCAACCTGGGGGCATGGTCTTACAGCAGTGTCCCATTAGCAGAGGGAAAAAATGTACATACCCCTTCCCTTTAACTGAATATAGAACAATGAAGCTTGGAAAGAACTTTCTTTTAAAGGTGGAAACACTTTTTATTAACCAAATGGCACAAGAAGCTTTAGACAGTTTTCCCCAAGAGGGCTGCACTTGCATATTAAAAGGAACAATTTGACCTTAAATAATGGGCGACTTTGAGGACCAGTCAGGGTCTCTTCCCCCAGGCAGGCCTCTTGAGGACAGAATCTGAAATCCCTGCAAGTCTGTCACTACCTGCTTACACCCAGCAGAAGCCTAGTAGAAGGTATCCCCTAACGTGCATACTTCAGAGTCAGCCGCATTATTCTTTGCTATTTAACAAATCAAGTGGCATTCTTTTGGTCTGAGTGGGTTTTAGCTTTACACTTGAATAAAAGCTTATAATGCAAAATAAAAAGGGGGAGAGACTCCCTAAAGGTATAGCAGTAAGATGCATCCTCTGCAGCTTGTTCTGTCCAAATCGATAGTGTTCCTTCCTTCCCCTGCAGATACTGCAGGGAGATCAAAGGCAGCTTCCACTGGAAGCTAACTGTAGCTCCCCCACTTCTACAGCATAACCATAGACCTCTAGCTCGGAGGAAGCAAGTCAGCCTACCTAAGAGACCGAGAGAGGGTCAGCTCTAAGTAGGGAAAAAAAAAAAAAAAAAAAGTGATAAAGTTATTTAACTTAAGGAGGCGGATCTGAGTGATGTGTGTGGTTCCCCTGGCTGTATTGGTAACACGGCAGCTGACCCCTTCCAAGCTGGTGCAGTTGTCATTCCCCAGCCAAGTACACTAGGCAGGAGAGTTCACTTCAGCAGACACACACTGAGTACCATTGCCTAGAGCAGCCCTGTGGCCCCTGCTCCGCGTGGGCCTGAGAGCTAGTTCTACCAGAGTCAAGTAGTGGTGGCTTAAATCTTATAAAACCCCCCATTTATTATTTTTTTTCTTTTATGGCAATACAGAGCTTGTACTTTGAAGCGCGGATATGTACATGGAGTCAAAGCAATACTGTTCCTGTAACCTTCCTAGTGCTGAAATTAAGCAGACCAAGCCAAACTTGAAGTCATGCATAGCTTCTGCCTTCAACAGGTACGGCTCCAGGGTTCACCGTGAAACACTTTCTCCTGTTTTATAACCTCCTGGAGTAGGGGCTACTCCTATTGCAGTTGTCTGTTCCTGTTGGAGTAGACACATATGCACGAGTTGCCCTTCAGAATGTCTCCTGCCTGGAATGAGCCATTCTGCTGAAGACCTAGGCTCTACCTAAGCATGGCACCTGGGGCTGTGCTCACCCTTCCCCCACCATTTCACAGCAAAAGAATCTAGGCGTTAGACTCTCAAAGTCTGTAGCATGAGCTTGCTCTGGTTCAGTGTATGAGAGACTATGCTGCCAGAAGCACTTCTATTTTTTATGTGTTTGGGTTTTTTTTGCCAGAATAGCAAGATCTACCTTACTAGGGCTTTGCTAGTACTGCCATACCACTGTAGCTGTAGGGAAGGTTTATGACCTCAGATTATTTTGTCTACTACAATCACCAAAATGAAAAAAAGACCAAACTCCAGAGCCTCGCTTGCTTAGTACTAATGAAATTTTTCATTTGAGCCCATTAGAAAGCATTGATTAGTTTAAAAATACAGTGCAAAGTGTTAGCCTAGCTGTGATCAGAGCTACATGAAAAGGAAGGAACCAGGATTCTGGCAACAGAACTTGCCCCACGCAAACTCAGCACTACAGTTTTCAATCTGCAGTTGAGCTGCAGATGCCCAAGCACAGCCCCCAGCCAGGATGAAAAATCAAGCCCTCACAAACAGCAAGGATGGATTCTGGTAGTAGTAATTTGCTCTCTGGAAGGCAGGTTAGGAAAGAAACAACCAACTGCAAACACCACAACAACAGGCATTTCACCTCCAGCCAGAAGTTAAATTGGTGTCCAAAACCACACGCAGTACTAAACAGAGAAAGTGCTTCCACTCCTTCGCCTGGTGCTATGCTAGGCGCTTCTGGTCAGACTGGTGAGTACCTGGAGCAGGTAGTTGCTTAACGATTCACATCAGAATGGACAGAAGGCTGCAGAAGTGTTGCTTTCTTGGCTCTAGCTTGTTTTATTGGGCAAGACCTAGTATTTTGGAGCTAGGCTATTTTCAGTATTTTCTGGCAATCAAATTATCACCCTGAGAACCCCTGCTCAGCATCTACCTAGCCCAATGAGAACTGAAAGCTTAAGTTTTCAAGCTGCCTCTCTGTGTGTGCCCAATAATATTTGGATTTTTGCCCTAGCCAAGCAGCTCAGCACTGCTGTGCCAGCTACAGCCTCACCGCCTGGGTCTTCTGAAGTTTAAGGGAATCGGGAGCCTCTCACACACCGTGTGGCTGCAACAAGCAGGGTCATGGCTCTGTGGCTGTGGTTTGGGCTTTTATGCAACAGAGGGAGTCTGGGTTTCAGTCTTTGCTCCCAGCCTGGTGTTCCAGGAATGCTGTCTGAAGATCTTGCCCAGCTTGCAGCTGCAAGTAAGCATAAATGCCCAAGTAAGCATAGCTTAACGTTAAGCACAACTGAAATTTAAGTTGCACCTTATCTTGAAAGCCTTTCCCGTGCCAGTTCCTTATTTAACACACTACCCACCACAGTTCCTTAAGTATTTAACACTTTTTTTTTGTAGATCCAGTCCTCTGCTGTTTTAGCATCTCAGCTTTAGGGTGTGCTGCAGACAAGGATAAAGTGAAGAAAGATTGGGTCTAAGGTAGATATTTTATTAAGGTACAGGCCACTCGAGGACAGATATTGAGGCACTTTTGGGAAGGGGATAAGCAACACAAGGGAGAGTAATTCTATATGCCCTTTTGTAAGTATATAGCTACTGCCTTTCCTCTGCCAGCTGCAAGAGATCCACTAAAAAGAGGTCATATCACATGGTTCAGGGTAATTAGACCCTGCAGTTTAGGATTACTTTAATACACTTGAAAACAGGGGGGGGCAAAAAAACCCAAACCCTTCCATTTTCTAATTCACACCTGTAATACAGCAAGCAGCCTGGCACTCAAGTCTCTAAGAACGCTGACATCTGAGCTTACCTGCCCTTGGGTGACTTCCACAGGGCCTGTCACAGCTCTGACCACAGGCCTCCAAATTCAGTAGAATGCAAGTCCATAACTGACATCCTTAGCTAATGGAGTGTTCCCAGAGGAGACACACACGATAGATTTTCAAAATGCGTGGTCAGCAATTTGGGGGAGAAGACGGTACAAATTCTTGCTGACTTGTCAAATCTATAAGACCCTAAAATGAGAATAATATACAGAAGGGACCAAGCAACCAAAACACATGGTGCAGCTGATGCTCCATTAAATGTAGAACACACCAGATACTCAAGGCTTTCGCCCAACCATGAAAACGCTTAACAAAACAGTCATGTTTTCCTCACTACTGCTGCCACCTTCTTCTCACTGCTATGTGTGGAAGAAGACACTTTTTAGTTAATGCCCCACTGGGCTCCTTGTGTCAACAAGCTAGGGACTTCTGGATTTATTCTTATCTGTCCTGTACCCAATTCCCACACTACTACTGAAACAACCGCTTACAGAGAAGAGCTAAAAGAACACCTGACCTTCCGCCCCAGCCCCAGATTGTACACAAGTTAGCCAGAGTGTCCAAAAAATCCATCTCTGCTTCAGAGTGC